AGGCCCAAATGGGACAACAAAACCCAGTACCTGCTCACCTGTGTGGGCTTCTGCGTGGGACTTGGCAACGTGTGGAGGTTCCCTGGCTCTGACACAGGTAAGGGAACCTCCACACGTTGCCAAGTCCCACGCAGAAGCCCACACAGGTGAGCAGGTACTGGGTTTTGTTGTCCCATTTGGGCCTGTCCCCTGCCTCCTCCTTCTCCATCCTCTCCAGTTCCGCATGAGACGGGATTCGGTCATCCAGTCCCGGGTTTGGAAGCTTCAGCTTCATTGTGTCTTCTTTTAAAATTTGCTGGACTCAGAAAATCCGTTGTGTCTCCTTTTGGTAAGTAGCTATTGGTTTTGCTACTTTCCTACAAGCCTTCGAGGCGCTGCGTCCTTTCTGGTATATTCTCCTCTGTGAAAACTGTTGCTGATTCTTGTTGAACTGTCTCTGTCTCTGAGCCCTTCACCTCTACTGTATCCTGGGAAAGCGCACTGAGGTATTAACTGCGACCTATGGCACCTGAACCGAAGTTATCAGTAGCTCGCTTCATTATGTGGGGTGTTACGTAATGTCAGCAAGGTTAAGCGGAGAAAGGTGCAACCTCCTTTATAATGGTTAATACATCACATGAGGTACCGTCACTGACACTTCTCCCTGGAAGATGAGTTTAGTATTCATTAGTTTGTGAGGGAAATTGAGCACTGTATTGGCCGTTTATTTACTTATTTTAACACCCCTCATAACTCATAACATCCCAGGACTACTTACTGAAGAATAAACTGCTGTTCAAAACAACCATCATAGCAAAACGTTAACTTCTTGTACAAACATTATTACATTATTTATTCATATCATCTGAGTTAATAGAAATATGTATTTATTTTATTCAAAGTAACAGTTATTTTGCATATTGCTGGGCACTGCTTTGTTTCTGTCTCTTTCAAAATGCAACCTTTTAGTGTTGTACTTTAAATGTGATCCCATTACAAGATTATTTAGTTTTTCTATTTTATGTATTATAACTGCATAGGCTGCAACTGGGTGTTTTTGACCCCTTAATACAATATATAAATTGCTGTTTTTAGTAATAACTAATTGAAACTAAAAACATTGTCATGACATTACTAGAAACTTAAAATGTTGATACATTTAGCTCTGAGGTCTGTGGGGACCCAAGTTGATAGGATGAGGGTTAAGTTTCCAAAATATGTCCAAAATATGTTGCAAAAAGTAAATAAAATTGCCCACAATGTTTTGGACAGACAGGGTTAAAACTCTGTACAGAGGCAACACATTTTCCATCATAGATTATATGAGGTATCGACCAGCCCTTTTAGAAATGTAATTGTTTTATTGCACAGGGATCTACAAGCGTATCATATCGATCGATACACCACACCTTGTCCACATTATTTTAGGATGGAAAATCTAATTCTAAACGGTTCTAATCCTGATTATTTTAGTAGTTATCACAACTGAGTAGAGAAGGAAGTTATTTTCTGTTTGCGTTCATACCAGGGAAAAATTCTGCCATGTAATTGTTGAGCGATTCAGAATGCATATACACCTAATCAGTGTATCCTTCTAATAGGATTACTAACCAAATGCAGGAACTTACAGAATGGTGTTTGATGACTGGTGATCTATAGCTGGTCATTTAAAAGATGTACATAAAGCCATCAGTGTATAAAAATAGAATACAGTTTAATAAAATTGGAGTAAAATGGACATCGCACAGACTTTTCTGGTCATTGGCCGTTATATAGGAAATTGCCAAATGTTGTTGCTTGTTATTGTGAAACCACATGTGGGCGCAGCTCACTGACAGCTTGCTATCTATCAGCTTGCTAATTCTGCCATGTTTTAAAGCTACTTCTGTTACAAAAAACAAGCTGAACAATGTTATCGCTCAGCTGGTGTGTGGAAGCATTACACTTAAAGCATTAAAACTGTTGAATTTTATAATAGCCATCGCTCTGACCCTTCTCCAAGGTTGATTTGAATGTATTAGTCTGTTCTATTCGTTGTCTTTTTCAATAGTTTATACACTATGTGCATCACAGTGGCGACCCGTGACTTTTATACCTAGGCACTCTGACCCCCACAACTTCCCTCGAGTTATTACGTCACAGCGGTCATAGCGTATACTTCAGCGGAATATCAAAACAACGGCCCGGGGTGCAAAACGCATCAATGAAAGCGACCCCCTACCACACATTTACACATTTACACCTGTAAATAACCCTATTTGTGTTCTTTGAAATTGAAAAGGATATTGCATTGTGTTTGTTACTTTCGTTGCAGTGGTATGTCTGAAGTGTAATTTGGTATGCTTTTTTTTTGAAGGCCAGTTAACGCTGTTGACAGGAAGTTGTTGCTGCTATGGAAACAAGAAAAGTTTCACAGCGGGTGGAACTTGTCATAAAGTCCGCGATAATAACACCCACCCATTTAGAGGGAAGATATGATTGGTCAATTGTACTGTCATTTGACATTACTCTCTGCCCTCTACCCATATTGCATAGTATTTCTGTTTAGGCCTGTTTTCAATTGTTTGAATATACTTGTTTCATTCAATGTTTATATCTTAGATTAGAGGGTTGGAGCCAATCCAAGCTGACATCGGGTGAAAGCAATTGTACACGTTGGATTTTGGGAGGAAACTGAAGCACACTAAGAAAAACCCACAGCCACAGAGCATCCACACAGAACATCCTTCAGTCAAAGAAATGTAAGACAGTTTATTGATTGCCATACATGTTGACTTTGGCTGATACAGTGTTGAGCTCAAGGATATTTATGTTTTTCTTGCAGCAGCATCTTTGGAATAATTTGTATAAAGCAAATCCTGGGATAAAAAGACCTGGAAGTCCAGCCAAAAAGAAAATGATAATGTAGACCCAGCTAGGATAGGGTATCGCCTCCAATACGGGGAAGTTTTCCTGTAAACATGACACAGAAAATATTCTTTTAATGTGATCATTTGGAGGAATATATCTTACAACAGTTGTGAAACATACCGAGTTTGGATTCCAGGTGAGGTATGTGAGTTCAGAGTTGACTTTGGTGACAAAGTAAAACACAAAGATGACCAAAACGATCAAAGGGCTGACCACTCTCCACGCCGCCTGCCAGAAGATGTTGGGTTTGTGTCCAATCATGAACTCAATGTCTTTGTTAAACCTATCAAAGAAGGTAGATTTGACTTAGGACTCTGTAGGAATGTCATAATAATCAATTGTAAAAGACGTATAACTTCCATTTTGGGACTAAATTATGGGATTATTGCAATAGGCTCAGCTATCTCCTGTTGTCTTAACATCTTACCTGTCCATTCCATACAGGTAGGCCACGGCAGTCATCTCACAGAAGGCGATAATGAGCAGCGGGATGGAGCCTGCGAAGCTGTCGAAGAGGGCTAACCAGTAATTTCCAGACGGCAGAGCAAAGATGAGCGCAATCGAGAAGGACACAAGGCATACGACTCCTAAAGAAATGCGGAAAAACATCTCATTGTGTGTGGTAAGTACCTTATACACAAAGTTACTTAACCCTTACTCTGTAGAAATGTGCCAGCACACATGGGTGAAGGATCATTTACCTGTGAGCACCTCTTTAGGACAGTTCTTAGGAAAGATTTGTAGGTCCTGCAGGGGGACCACGACTCCCTCTATACTTCCAAACATGGTGGAGAGCCCGAGGCAGAAGAGCATGATGAAAAACAGAACGGACCAAAGAGGAGAAACAGGCATCTTTGTGATGGCCTCTGTGAACACAATAAAGGCAAGGCCGGTTCCCTCCACTCCCTGGAAGGCAAGTGCACAATTACCATTTCATTATGAAAGCCCTTTTAGAAGAAAATCTAAAAAAGATTAGCTTTGTGATGAAAAAATGACCCATGAAGTCATTATAAAGACAAACCTTCTGGAATATTGAATTAGCATCTCAACAGAATAACGTAATGTCTCAAAATTAAGAGAAACTTATTTTAGGATAGCATTTTAATATTTTGAGTCATTATTTTTGGAAAGAGTTTCTCATTATAATGTGATACTAGGTCATTATTTCGAAAAAGTCTATTATATTTAAGTATATTTTAGGATTACAACTCATTATTTTCAGATACTAAGTCATTATTTTGGACAGTTTCCTATTATCTTGAGATAGAGTAAAGTCCTTTTAGTTTTAGATACCAAGTCATTATTTTGAGAAATGTTCTCATTATTTTTATTTTTCAAACATTAGGTCATATGACTTTAAGAATAATTCTTATTATTTTTTAGATTATTTAGACTTTATTTTGACACTTTTTGAAAGTGATTATGACCTACAGGATTATTTATTTTTTCAATACAGTCTTAAATAGCCTTTCATTCTCAAAATAATTGTAAACTGAGTAAAAACATATTGATGCCTCCCAAAAAAAAGTCATACTTCACTAAGAAAGGTCCTGAGGTTGCAGGTGCTGAGGTCCAGCCCCTGAATGACCTCTGACCCTGAGATCGTGCTGTTGAGATTCTGCAGAACTTCATCGTAGTTGCCCTCTGTGAACGTCCCCTCAGAAAGATCAAACGCATTTAGCAGCAACAAGATGTTTCTGAAATGGAAAATGTTTAAATGGTGTGACTGAAAAACGATACTTTTGCCTCGATAACAATTAAAGGTCCCATGTCATGGCAAATTCCACTGGTCATAATTCCATTGTTGAGGTATACTAATATATACTAATATAGAAAAATACTGTGCAATTTTTCAAACTCACATTGGTTTCGCATACAGCATCTCTGTAAAGTATGTGTATTCAGCAGTATTCACTTT